TTAAAAAATTTATTTTTAATTAATAATTATAAAATATGTAATTTACTCACTTTTTTGTTACAATGAATCATCAAAATATAAATACTTAAAATAAAAATTTGTTAGAACAATTTATGATAGTTCCTTCATTGTGGTCCCAAACCGAAAGGAAAAATAAAATCTTATATAATTTATAGTTTGACTATAGATTAGCTCTTAGCACAACCAAACAAGCCTTAAAAATATTTGTTTTTTATTCTTTATACATGTAATGAGAGTGAGGTTTCAGATTTAAAAAAATACACTTCTCCAAAGTATTAATTAACTTGGTGGCAAGAACATAAATTAATAGAAAAATTTCCTGAAAGGTTTTGTGCATTGAAGGTTAATGCTAAGTCATGAAAGTCTCATCAAAAAAATTATGTACATGAGGGTTACTGCTAAGTCAATAAGTCTCATTAAAAAAATTAACAGCAAAAGCTGATACAAAGATCAAGGTCCCTTAATATAATTGCTTTTCTTTCTTTCTTTTTTTTTTCTTTTTTTTTCTTTTTTTTTTTTAACGTTTAAAAATTAAGGAAGGAGGAATCACAATGCAAAGGATAAAACTACTGGCATGATCATATATTAGCGCATTTCCACCATTAATTACTACTGCATAGAATAACATAATTGTTTTTATGCCGCATTTGAAGGGAATGTTTAACAATTTAACAATAACTATCACAATAATATAGTATTTATGACTTTTCTAAATTAGTGGATCATAACCATTTCCATCAATAATAGAGTACATGTTTACGTTTAGTTGAAGTTCTAAGTCAAGGTCATCCCGGTTCATAAAATGAAATACAAATGCTAATAGTATGTTTGGTTTTATAAAAGGATATTGATCAATACATCCACCGATTCAACATACTGCATAATATACTCATTAAAAATCATTATATTTTAATATAAAATTAAATATAAACAAATTTAAAAATATAATCATGCACATAAAAAGCAAGAACTGACTAAATCAACTATACTTATATTATATTTTTAATAGTTGAACCAGATAAGTATTATTTCTCTATTTGCTATAAAAAAAAATAAAAAATAAAAATACTACTACTTGTTTAATGAAATGCTAGCAAGTGCTGGGTAGGATTGGTGATGGTCTCATCTGTTCCATTTTCCCCTTGTTGACAATTCTGTAATTTAAACCAGATTACATTAATGAAATTTGTTTCCCATAAAAAATAATAAAATATTATTACTAGAAATGCAAATCTATTTCCTAATATATAAGAAAAACTATTTATTAGTAATAACTAAAAATTAAATCCAGTCTTATCCAAAATGTGAGTAATTATGAGTAATGGTAAAAAAAAAAAAAATTGGGACTAACAAGAAATAATTACAAATCATATATTACAAGTGAATTATTTTTCAATACATAAGGATCGAATTGCAAGTAGGATTGAAGTATTACAAGCCATAAATTGTAAGGGCTTTTAATTCATGAATTAATGGATCAATGAAGGAGATAACGTGACAGCAAACGGATATGGTGGCGAACAAAAGGACCATGGATACCCAGTTTTTAATGTTTTGAAGTTATTATTTATCACGAATTAATAAAAATTTTATATTTTCTTTTGAGAAAAATAAAAATCAAGACATCTTCGCATTTTAAATGCCAAGATCTCTTATAAAATTGTTTTTTGTATCCTTAATGCATCTTTTTTGCATGTTAATTCATCAAAGGTATATTGGTCTTTACATTTTCAGTATTAAAATGTCTTAATTTTCCTCAGTCCCTTATCTTTGTATTCATTTTCCAAATGAAATGAAGAAAAACAAATTAAGAAAAAAGAAAATATTTGTTGTGAAACTGCCAAGAAGAAATAGAAGCCCACCTAATTTGAATAAGCGTGTGGGGCCAATTTATGACAAATCATGAAGTAATGGAGTAGTTGTTTACTTGTCTATAAAAGCTTAAGGCACATTGTGTTCATGGCACAAAGACAGCACAATTAGCACTCTTTGCTTGATCTAAGTATATGCACTCGCTCCTTATTTTGATGGATTCGAAATGGTTGTATGTGGTACTTACGCTCTTCTTATTAGAAGGGATGTGGTGCCAAGGGTGTTTGGAGCAAGAGAGAATTGCTCTACTACAACTCAAGTCTTTCTTCAAAGATCCTTGGGGTTTGAGAAATTGGGGGAGAGGAAAGGAAAATTCAGATTGTTGTCGATGGGAAAGGGTTGAGTGCAACCCCTCCAGTGGACGAGTTATGAAACTCCATCTTGATGACGTATCTGGTTGGCATAACTCATATCTTAATGCCTCTTTGTTTCTCCCATTTGAGGAATTGAAGAGTCTCAATTTGGCTGAGAATGGAATAAATGGTTTCATTGAAAATGAAGGTTTTTATCTATTGACACACCTTTCAACTTAATTATGTGATTATCAAAACATATTTGAATATACATATAAGTAAATTCATTTCATTCTTATTCTCCTATATATTATTTATTTGTTTTTTTCTTTTTAATTGAAGCAAATTGAACAATTTCTCTGATATGTTTGCAGATTTCCATAGGCTTTCAAAGTTGAGCAATTTGGAATTCCTTGACTTGAGTCGGAATGACTTCAATAGCAAAATTTTGTTATCTTTGAGTGAGCTTTCATCTCTCAAGTCTCTAAGTCTTGCGAGCAACTACTTTCAAGTGTCAAACCTTACTAATGGTACAATTTGATGAATTTCTGCTCATCTTTGGTTTATGGGAACCCATTTCCTTATTGTTTCCTCTTGCAATTAAATTTTTTTTACTCCGAAAGTTCAATCTATAATTAACTTGTATAAATTGCAACAAATTGTATTGCAGGTTTTAAAAGGCTTTCTAAGTTGAGGAGTTTGGAGATCCTTGATCTAAGTTACAATTACTTGAATAATGGTATCTTAACATCTTTGAGTGATCTTCTATCTCTTAAATCTCTAAATCTAGCCAACTGCAACTTAATGATAGCATCAAATCACATGGAGGGTAAGATTTTAACTTATTGTTGTTATAAGTTTACCAAATTTGATGCAATATCGATTATTTTAACTAAAGACATTATGCTTTGATTTGT